TGAGGCCGATCGCTGATGCAAACACCGACTGTGCTGTAGAACTGGCTCTAACCTCCGGCTGTTTAATGTTATCAGTGGTGCAGCCCCGCTGCAAGGCCTATCGGCAGATCGTGCGTTACTTTGGCACCGAGATCCTCTTGGAGAACGGCGAGATAAATCGTGAGGCTTTAGGAAACATTATCTTCTCCCACCCGGAGAAACGGCAGCTGCTGAACTCCATCACCCACCCGGAGATCCAGAAGGAGATGCTGAAGCAGGTCCTGAAGTACTTTGTGCTGGGTAAGAGGCCGTGTCCCAGCGCAGCGGGACTCCTGCTCAGGCAGGGGCTGTCCCTGCTTGCTCCGCCTTCGGTTTGAAAGCGGGGAGAGGGCTGGGGAAGGAGAAAAGGAGCCGGCGGTGAGTGACAGCCTTTGTGCTCTGCCACTGGCGGCCTTTTGCGTCGGCGTTTGGAGGATTCGCTCCTGCCTTTCACTGCTGCCCTTCACCACCTGCTTCTTCTATGGTTTAAAGTACATCTGTAGGGCCCGAGAAAAGCATTGTGAGGCCTCTTCTGAGATTACTCGCTGGATAATGTCATACCTTCCCAAAACGGCCAAATATTCTTCCCTGCCCCCAACCTCCTCGGGCTTCGATGAAAGCTGCAGAGCCCTTTTAGTCTCGATAAGGTGAGAAACGGGCTGACAGCTGTGGTTTCCAAAGTCCCACTTTTTCCCCTGATAAATATAACAAATACAGCTGTCAAACTCGGTCTAATCAAATGCCAGATAAGATCACCAGCTGTTTTGGAGGTCTCCGTGTAGACAGAAGGATGTCTTAATAGAGTCAGTCTGGTTTTGCAGAGCTTATCAAAGCTGAGCCCTGTGACAGCTGAATAGGCCTGTGCCGGGGGCTGTGCCCGGCTGCAGGGCGAGGAGGAGGAGGAGGAGGAGAAAGCGCAAAGGAAGCAACAGGCAGGAAAGCCGGGAGCCAGAGATGGAGTCTTGAACCTGGGGCTGCGGGCTGGGGAGGCGGATGCTGTCCTGGCCCTCGGCAAGAGCGCTGTGTGTCTTCAGCAGGCTGCTTTGTCCTCATTAGTCAGGTTTTAATGATTTGGGATAGTTGGATGTTGTCTCTAAGGATCACTGTGTAAGGAAAGCGCTTATCGATCAAACCGTAGGGCAGCAAGAAGTCTCTCTGGGCGGAGATGCTGGGAAAACGGTGGCTTGTTGGATGATGGTGTCTTTGTCAAAGCTTTTATTGCCGTGGCCAGCATGGGTGTGTGTGTGGGGGGTGGGTTAGAAAGAGGGGACACCAGCAAAACTGGAGATGTCCCCGTGGCTGGGGAGCACAGGGGGGAGCAAGGTCCTGACTTAGAGCTTTCCCCTCCCCTCGCCCGCTCCCCCAGGCGCAGCAGGGCGTCCCCCCACGTCCCCAAACGCTCCCGTCTGCCGGGGGAGCGGGTGCTTGCCAAGGGCAGAGGCACGTGGAGAACCTGGGGTGGGCTGCAGGGTCTGGGAGGGCGGCACCTGGTGGTTATGGGCTCTCCTCCACCAGCTGCTCCGCGGGGTGACTGGTTTTAAACCAAACGGGGCCGGTTTTGGTGAGGTTTCAGGCCACCAGGCTCTGCCTGGAGGCACCCCTGCCTTTGTGTCACAGCTGTGAGAGCTCTGCAAGAATTTGGAAAAATGGAACCCTTTAGCCAAAGCTTTCCATAAAGGGAAGAAACCAGCTGGGAAACATCAGCTCGAGTGACCGCAGCCTGGCAAAGTCTCGGACAAGTGCAGGAGAGGAGAGCAAATTCTGCTGTGGGCACTGCTCCCCTGGAGAGACTGGCAACGGCAGCGTGACTGCCGCTCTGCCAGCCAGGCACAGGCACTTCCATTTGAGCTTCTCGTTTCAGCTCCTCATTATATTTCTGCAGCTTCACCTTTGGTCTGAGAGCATCCAGGTTAGGGTTTGGGGTTTTTTTTGTGGTTTTTGGGGTTTGTTTTATTTGTTTTTTTTCTCTGGAAACTTGGAACGAAACCATTTCCTCCCTCTGAGAGGGAGGGGGCGAACAGGCTCTGCTCTCCTCTCTAATCGTGGAGCTGTAGAGCTCTCCTGCTGTGGCCACGGTGTGTGTGCAGCTCAAGGGATTTGGGAACCCAAGTAATGCTGTTCCCTTTTTTTTTGGGGGGGGGGATGTTGTCTTTTCTCCAGGCTACCGCTACGTGATCCTCGACATCCCTCTGCTCTTCGAGACCAACAGCTTGACCAAGCTTATGAAGTACACGGTCTTGGTTTATTGGTAAGTGCCACGTGAACCATGAGGACCACGACGCTGCCACCTCCCTTAGAGGCTGGAGGGGACCCTCGCGTCCCTCTCGCTCTGGTGAGGATTTCGCTGCAGCCCCGGTGCGGAGCTGATCGCTAACACCGCCGTGAGAAGGGACGCCTTCCTTCAGCCCCGTCTGAGGAGCTTCTTGCTGAGGTTTCCCTGAAACCTGGCGCCATCGTACGGGGGAAATCGCTGCCTTGGGGCCTTCCACAACCTGTGCTCCCTTGGCTGGGGCAGGGTTTGGGGCACCGCCCCGGGGTGACGGGCCGTGGGGATGCCCAGAACCCGCAGTGGGCTCAGCCTGGGCAGCGCGGCGGGCGCTGGCTCTGCTGATCCGAGCGCGGGATGCTGCGCCAGATCCAAAACGAAGCGGGGCCCACCTCTTCCCCCCACTTTACCCCAGCTATTCCCCCTCGTGCCGAGGAAAGCAGGCAAACCCCCCCTCTTCCCTCCCGCACCCCCATCTCAGTGTCGCCCTCCCATCCCGGCAGCGACCCGCCAAGCTCTCTCGGCTGATGAAGAGGAGCGGGCTGTCCCGGGCGGAGGCAGAAGCTCGAATCGCCTCCCAGTTGCCGCTGGACGAGAAGCGCAAATTAGCGAGTCACGTCATCGACAACTCCGGGGACCGGGAGAGCACGCGCCGGCAGGTCCTGCGGCTGCACGCCCGCCTGGAGGATTCCCTGGATTTCCTCTGGGCACGGCTGGCAGCGGGCACGGTTGTAGCTGGGATTGGAGGGCTGGTGTACCTCCTCCTCCGGCATTTCATCTCTTAATTCACCTTTTCTTTTTGTCGTGGAAGAGGGCTGAATTTCCAGGTTTGAAAAGGGCAGTGAAAGGCCACCTCTTTTAATGAGCTTTGCCAGCTGAATGCAGACACTGGGATGAGGCGTCTCCTTGCAGACTTCCCAAGGTGAAAATAGGGGTGGAGGGTTTTTTTCCCGGCGCCATCTCCCCTCTCCTTTCTTCCTGCTCAGGTTCTTACCCACTGGTGGGGTGGGACCGCTCCCCCTTGCGTGGCTGCAGCCCGTGGAGGGGACAAGGCCCTCGTGGGACTGCAGTGAATTCAGGCACTTTAATGTCTTCCAGGACAATCTTTTCACTGGGGGAGTAGGTGGCCTCTCGGGTCCTGTTTCTGCTACTGGGTGTCCCCAGGTTGATCCCCTCCAGGCTCACGGCCCTGGATCTGAATTTAGACGTGGGATTTCCTCTTCTTTCACGATGATTTAATGGAAACGTGTAAAATCTGCCCGAGGGGGGAACAGACAGCACCTCCTTTCCTGCGGGTTAGGTGTTCAGCTGGCTGCTCGCCCTCCCTCCTGCCCTCTGTTGCCGTGATCATCGCTTGGGGGTCCCCCTTGCCTTTGGATCTGAGGGTCTGATACAGCCCCGGAGCAGGCTGAGGCCTCGGCCCTGCCTCACTGAAGCTCATTTACTGCTGTTGGAGCTTTCCTCCGGTGGCAGCTTCCCCACGGGAGAGCACGAGCCGGGGCGAAGCGGGTGTTGGCTCTTCGGTTTGTTTTAATAAAGTGCTGAAGAGCAGCCGGCCCCGGCGGCTCCG